TCTGTTATTTATCGCATTGATTTTACATGATCGTAGAAAAAAAAATTATACTACAGTATAAAATATTTATTTATTTATTTTGTATTTCTTTTTATTTACTCTTTTCTGTATTTACGAATACTTAGTACACAAATTTTTTCGATAATGAAAAAAATCAATTAAAAGAAACTAAGCAGAAAAATTAAAAACGCATCTGAAAAGTAAAGAAAACGATGATAAAAATCAAGGGAGAGAAAAAAAATTGAAAGAAAATCAAAAAAGAGTAGTAGGAGAAAACTAGAAAGTGAAATGAAGATAAAGTGAAGTTATCATTATCAGTTGACTATTGGAAAATAAGTAATTAAAAAACTGAAGGAAAAATGTTAGGAAAAGGAAGATTATTTTGAATGTGAAACTCGAGAAAAAGGATGAGATACTTTCCAGAATCAATAAGGCATTCTTAATAGACAACTTAAAGAAGGGAAAGAGAGATTATTCTTGAGATTGTTAAAAACACTTAAACTACCCATTCATTTACGGGGTTGAATGTCGGAGAGACCTGGAAAATGTTCTTGTCCCCTATATATATAGCAGCCAAGAGGCGCCTTATGGAAATTAAAGGGCGCTACTCAAGCATCAGCTGGACCTCTGTTGCAAATACAAATTATCTTTTGAGGACTTCTTGGCCTTTCAGCCAACTTTTGTCCTTGAAATCTAATGCTTTTCCTTTTTAGTAATTGTCACAGCTTCTAGAAGTTTATCTTTTGTTTATGAAAAGCTTACCTCAACTATATAAACGCTCTTTTATATTGCTTAACAAGATTTTCAAAAAATGTAACACGTAAATATTTTCTTCAAACAGGATTATTGTAATTTAATCTAAATGTCCATTGGAAAAAATCTGTTTTACTTCATTTTACTTCAATTTGCTTCAATTTGCTTCATTTTACTTTATTTTACCTTATTTTATTATGTTTTACTTTAATTAACTCTATTTTATTTTGTTCCACTTTATTTTACCTCAAATTTCTTCATTTTACCTTATTTTACTATATGTTACTTTCATTAACTTCATTTTATTCTATTTCACTTTATTTTACCTCAAACTGATTCATTTTACTTCATTTTACTGTATTTTGATGCATTTTACGTTATTTCATTGTATTTTACTTTATTTTACTTTCTTTTACTATATTTTACCTTATTTTACTATGTTTGGTAGTTTTACTTTAATTCCATTTTACTTTGTTTCACTTTATTTTACCTCAAATTGCTTCATTTTACCTTATTTATCTATATTTTACTTTAATTAACTCCATTTTATTCTGTTTCACTTTTTTTACCTTACATTGATTCATTTTACCTTATTTATCTATATTTTACATTAATTAATTCCATTTTACTTTATTTCACTTTATTTTATCCCAAATTGATTAATTTTACTTTCTTTTACTATATTTTGATTCATTTTACCTTACATTACTATATTTTACAAAATTTTACCTTATTTTACTTTAATTAACTTCATTTTACTTTATTTTACTAAATTTTACCTTATTTTACTATGTTTTACTTTAATTAATTCCGTTTTTTATTTTATTTAGCTTCATTTTTACCTTATTTTACTATATTTTACTTTGTTTTACTTTATTTTCCCTCAAATTGATTCATTTTACTTAATCTTACTATATTTTGATTCATTTTACCTTATTTTACTATACATCTTATCTTATTTTACTTTATTTTATTATATTTTACTTCATTTTGCCTTATTTCATTATATTTTACTTCATTTTACCTTATTTTACTATATTTTACTTTAATTAACTCCATTTTACTTTATTTTACTACATTTTACTTCATTTTACCTTATTTTACTATATATTTTACTTTAATTAACTCCATTTTACTTTATTTTGCTTTAATTAACTCCGTTTTACTTTATTTAATTTAAGTTAACTTAACAGGATCGAAGAAAATTATTAAAAACAGAGAAATAATCTCTTAATGATGTTAATTATTTTTAACTAATTTATTGTCTTTGTTTCATTTGTTTATTTCTTTTATTATTACTCGATTTTGTTTTAATTATTTCACTTATTTGTTTATTTCTTTTATTTACATTTAAAATTATTTTATTTAGTTCATCTATTTCAATTATTATTTTTAATCTAAAAGATTCTCACAAAGTAGAAGAAAAATAATTTCAAAGGTTAAAAATTCCTCAAAGAATGAATAGTTTAAAAAAAAAAGGAATCAAGATAAAATTTTTCTAATTTCATATATAAAATAGTTTGTCTGATAAAAATAAAATCAGGGGAAAAGGTATTAAAAGAATATTATTATTTCTCTTTTACTTCGCAAACTTGAAATTCTAATACGCGCCCGTTCCTCTCTTATATATAGAAAAAAAGGCGAAATCAAGATAAGATAGTAATAAGGAAACGTCACAAGATTCGTAAAGATAAGAGAAAATCCAAATTCGAGTTGCTTCCTAGAAACTGATTTCTTCAATCTTTACTTTCTTGCAAGGCAATTCATATATATAGTGGTATAAAAATATAGTAATTTTGCCACATGCAAATATTCATAGTAATATAGTAGTGATTACAAAAAGATAATAATATACAAGTTTGCTCGCGATTTCGCGAGTTTGCAGTTTCACGCTTTTGCAAAATGATTAATGTCTTCTGATAATATAATTGTAGCTTGGATTGAAAACAATTTAAATTATATGCAAATTATGGTCGTTTGAATAATTATTTATTGTTTCACTATATTATTAACCAGCCAATCAATCAAACTATTTGGAGTTAGTAATTTATATTTTGACGTTGTATTTCGTCTTCTGATTTGTGTGGACAGATGATTTCATTTTTTATTTAACATTAACCATTGAACTTTAATTATTTAACAATTTAACCATTTAACTTTAACCATTTAACATTAACCATTAACTTTAATCACTTAACAATTTAATCATTTAACTTTAACTATTTAACATTAACCATTTAACATTAACCATTTAACATAAACCATTAACTATTAACCATTAATTAATAAATAAGTTTATCATTGATTGAGACTACCATTAACTATAAGTTAGTTATTAACTTTAACCATTTAACCATTTAACATTAACTATTAACTTTCATTATTTAACCATTTAATCATTTACCTATTCAAGCACTTAAAAATAACCATTAACATTAACTTTAATCATTTAACTATTCAACCATTTAACCATTAACTAATAACTAAATTTACCATTGATTGAGATTACCATTAACCATCAGTTAATCATTAACTTTAACTAATTAACCATTTAGCATTAACCATTAACTTTAATAAATTAAACATTCAACAATTTAACTTTAACCGTTTAACATCAACATTAACTTTAATGATCTAAACATTTAACCATTTAACTTTAACCATTTAATATTAAGTATTAAGCAATAATTAAAATAACCGTTGACAGAGACTACCATTAACTATCAGTTAATCATTAACTTTAACCATTTAAAATTAACCATTAATCATTAATTTGTCGCAGTTTTGACTACTGGTATAGTTTCAACTAAGAACTCTTTCAACCATAGTTTCCTTTAGTATTGTATTCTAAATCTATGGTTGTCTCAGTCAAAAGTATTATGAATCATAATGGTAGACCTAGTCAATAGTAGTCTTAATCATTGTCAATAGTAGTCAAAACTATGACTACCATTAATTGAAACTAATACCATTGATTCAGGCTATACTATTAATTAATATTATTATTAATAATATCACTATTAATCAATTTATTTATTAATGATTAATGATTAATTTTAAATGGTTAAAGTTAATGATTAACTAATAGTCAATGTTAGTAACCATTAATAATAATCTCAATAAATATTAACCTGAAAAAATGGTAGTCTTAGTCAATTGTATAGTTTCAATCAATAGTAATCTCAGGCAATGGTAGTCTTAGTTATTAAAAGTCTCAATTAATGGTAGTATCAATAAATGGTAGTCTCAATCAATGGTTATCACAATTAATAATAGTATTCATAAATAGTTGCCTGATACAATGGTAGTTTTAGTAAATAGTAGCCTGAATGAATGGTAGTTTTAATCAATGGTATAGTCTCAATCAGTTATAGTAATCTGAGTCAATGGTAGTCTTAATTAATAGTATAGCCTGAATCAATGGTAGTTTCAATTAATCGTAGTCATAGTAGCCTGAGTCAATGGTAATTTTAATCAATGGTAGTCTCAATCAGTAGTAGCCTGATTTAATGGTGGTCTTAATTAATAGTAGCCTGAATCAATGGTAGTTTCAATTAATGGTAGTCTCAATCAATAGTTGCCTTATACAATGGTAGTCTTAATTAATGGTACTCTCAATCAATGCTAGTCTGAATCAATGGTTAATGATAGTTCTTAGTCAATATTAGCCAGAATCAATGGTAGTCTCAATTAATGTTAGTTACAGTCAATGGCAATCTCAGAGAATGTCAGTCTATGGTAATGGTAGCGTCAACTGATGGTACTCTCAATCAATGGCAGTATCAACTAATGGTAGTCTCAACCAATGTTGGTCTTAATTAATTGGTAGTTTCAGACGGAGGTAATCTTAACCAATGTTAGTCTTAATTAATGGTAGTTTCTACCAGTGGTAGTCTTAAACAATGTTAGTCTTAGTTAATGGTAGTTTCAGCCAATATTAGTCAAACCACAGGTAGTCTTAGTCCTCGGGAGTCTCTAACAATAGTTTTCTTAGTTAATAGTAGTTTTAACCATTGTTAGTCTCAGTAAACAGTATTTAATGGTAGTCTCAGTAATTAGGAGTCTCCAACGTTAGTTGGAGACTTCTAATTACTGAGACTACCATTGAATACTGTTTTCTAAATTTTCTCCGTAATAACAACCAATAGATAGTCCCAACCATTGTTAACCATTTAAAAAACAAATTACTTCCAATGGAAAAAAATCCGTATAAATACAATTCGAATTAGAAGAATACTTTTTTTTTCCAAATACGCTGCGGTCCGAGAGATGATCAACGCGGGAGTCATCCGAATTGGAAAAGCGTGTCTGAAACTGTCCTCTCTTTCTCTCTCTCTCACTCTGACTCGCTGACTCGCTCTCCTTCCCCTCTCACGACGAAAGCAAGGATGTGGTCTCCTCTCTCTTTCTTCTCCCCACTTTCTCAACACTCACATTCCATCTCCCTCGCAACTAGAAACTATCGTTTTGCCTCTCTGTCATCGTAGGAGGGTAGAGTCGGCGTATATCCGAAAACTGCGTCCCTCTGCGCGAGAGAAGAACTCATGGCGAGACAGAGAGAAAGTGAGAGAGAAACAGAGAGGGAGAGAAAAACAGACACATACACCACATGAGAAAGGGAGCTAAGCAATGAGATAGAGAGAGGGAGAGTTCGTTACCCCCACTCTGGGGGTGAAAACTACCCCACGAGAGAGCGTGTGGGGTGTCCGGCCTCCGTGTACGGGCCGAGGCGAACCGAGCGCGTCCGAAGTGAAGCGCAGTGCCCGAGACCAGGTCCCGAACGCCACTACTAGGCGCACGTCCAGCACAGTCCACTCAGAGATACGACCCATGCTGGACCATCGTCGTCGCTGCCGCGCTGGTCCACGCATTTCAGAAGCAAATATCAACGAGACAATTTTTACAAAAACAATTTTCATTATTTTTTCCCTTTTTCCCCCAAAATACAATCTCTAAACATTTTTCACAAATTTTTCTGGAATTTTAGAAGAAAATCTACCATTTTTCCCCACACGTTAACATGTGTCAAGTGTCAAGGGACTTTTTATGCCGGTTCATCGCGTGTTAATTCAATTTCTATGTTTTTGTTAATTTTTTAAAAAACGACAATAAAAAAAAAGAATTTTTATTGTCAAAGAAGTGAATGTGAATCAGGGGAATTGATAATAGACAAATTTTTTTTTTTTTTGGAAAAGTGCCAGTGTTGAGGTAGCACACGCGGTACCGAAAGGGTACCGAATTTTTTTTTTTTTTTTTGATCTGGAAACCGCGGGAAATTTCGACCATGCGGTCGGTGATCAGTTGACCAGGATCCTTCCTCCAATGTTGTCCTTAGGAAGGAAAGGAGAGACGGTTGAGTGAGAAAGAGAGAGAGGAAATAGTGCCTCGTGGTGGAAAAGGATTTTTTAAAAATTAATGCCAATGGTGATGGACCATCGAGAAAGCTCCGGAAGGAGAGGAGCGGAGTGACGTTTGTTTTAATTTTTTCATTTTCGTTCCGTGTAAGACCCTCTTTTGTGAATAGTTTTTAAATAGTGATAATCGAGTCGGACAACAATTAACAAACGCCACCATGAGGATCAAAATGCCTGCTGTGAGGATCGCCCAAGGTGAGTCGTTTGTTTTTTATTTAAAAATATTTGTATAATTGGAAAAGTTTAATCGATGAAAGTATTCTGATGTTACAGTTGAAATACCAAATCGTATGATTGAATTTGTTCTGTGAAATAATGATTATTAAGATTGTTATTGTTACTATTACTATTAACATTATTATTGTCAATATTGTTATTAAAAGAATTCTCAATATTGTTGTTAAGATTATTGTCAACATTGTTTTTAAAAGTATTCTCAACATTGATATTAAAAGTATTCTCAATATTGTCATCAAATTTATTGTCAAGATTGTTATTAAAAGTATTCTCAATATTATTATAAAAAATATTCTCAATGTTGTTATTAAAATTATTGTCAACATTGATATTAAAAGTATTCTCAATATTATTATAAAAAAAATTCTCAATATTGTTATTAAAATTATTGTTAAGATGGTTATTAAAAGTATTCTCAATATTGTTATTAAAATTATTATTAATATTGTTATTAAAAGAATTCTCAATATTGTTATTAAAACTATTCTGAATATTGTTCTTAAAATTATTGTCAACATTCTTATTTAAAATTTTTTTTTATTTTCTTTTTTAAATTTAATTGACAATAGTCAATACTGTTATTAACAGCAATATTATTATTAACATTATTTTATTTATCAATTGCTTACTCTTTGAAAACTGATAAAAAATTATTTCTCAAAAAAGTCATGAAGCTTTATTTGCGAATTTGAATTTCAAATTTCACTCAGAACAATATTTTACTCCGACAACAAAATATTTTGTTACTTTTAGAATAAAAATTTCTGTTTTCTCGAAGTGTAATTTTTGTTAATTTTAGAAAAATTGTTCCCTTAAATAAAATTTAAGAATATTAAATTATTTTCCCAATTTCAATAGAGGAAAAAAAAATTTGAGCTTTTTTGTCGAAAAAAAAGTTTGTACAGCTATTAAAGAATTTTGTTGTGAAAGAAAAATATTTGTAAACAATAAATTAGTCATTCAAAGGGAGAATTTTATCTACAGTGTTCAATGGATTAAAGAAAATTTAATTTCAACTAAATTTTATTGAAGGAACTTTAATAAAATATTTTATCTTGGAAATTGGTTTTTAACTTTTGTTTTTTAGCTGCGAAGTACTTTTAAAAAAATTTAAATATTTAGTGACAATATTTCGCTGGTGAAAAAAATTTTCCGATAAATCTGAAGGAAAAGAAAAGAAATTTTATATTTATATCAAGTGAATGGATTTACTAATTGATGAAAACAATGAAATAGAAAAAAATTTAATTAACTGATTTGAATGATTTTGAATGATTTTGAATGATTTTGAATTTTTTTATATATGAAAACAAAAAATAAACTATTAGATGACAGAGATGAAATAAAATAATTAATCAACTGTTTGATGAAAATAATCAAATTGAAAAGTAAATATAAATTTCAAAATAAATTAAAAATTAGCTAAGAAATTGAAAAATGAAAATAAACTCGCTCTGCTTATCACGTGCGGATTAAAATCATTCAAGGCTTAGAAGTTTAAAATTTTGCTCTTTTAGAGATGTAAACAAATTTTTTTTTGTTGATATTTTTCGCTAATAAAAATAGCAATTTATATATTAAACTTTTTTTTAATGCAAATATTTTAGTTCCAAATCGTTTTTGTACAAAAACTATTAGATTCAATTGAAAGGGATTTCAGTCTTATTTCTTCCATATTATCACAATTTTTATATTTAAATACAATAATATATAAATAATATTTATTATTATTAAAAATAACATTTATAATACTCCTTTTTTCTTTAAACAATTTTTTTTAAAAGTATCAAATTGATACCAAAAATTTTGATTTTTTGTTATCAATTCATTGCAATTTGGTATTTTTAGATTAACGGTGCTTTTTGAAAATTAAAAAAAAAAATTATTCATATTGAAGAGATTTATTAGGATACATTGAACCTTAATTGTTTTTTTTAATTCATTTAAACTGTACGATCGAAACGTAGAAAAATTCGTAAATTAGAAAAAATAAAGATAAGATTCTCTATATCTTTCGTTGAACCAAATAGTTTCGAAAAAATAGCATCATAAAAGATCTAAAACATTACTAATTTAATCGTAAAACAATTTTCCTCACCTAAAAAATATTCATTTAATCAGATAAAATTTCTTTTGGTAACTTTTGGTTTTAATTCATTTTTAAAAATAATTTTGCTTACATATATATTGAAAATCAAGAGAAAATGAAATGATTGAAATATTTAATTTAGAATAGAAAATGTGATTAATTTTATCAATTTATAGAATAATTTTGCAGAATTGAACTCAAATTATAAGTATTAACTATAATTACTAATGTAATTTTATTAATTATTAATAAAATTATTAACTATAATTATAAATTTATTAATTGACCATAGAACCTTCCTTTTAAATATCTTTGAAGGAAGGTTCGCATAATCTTAAAAAAAGAAAAAATTTGAAAAATAGAAAAAAACTGCTTTTTTCCTTTTTCTCTCTAAAATAAAATTATAACATTCTTAACGTATCGCACTAAAAGGAAAAGTAAAAGTATTATTTTAAGGGGAGCGTAAAAGAAGTAGTTAAGAAGGCAAGAAAAAAAAAATATTTGGAGTAGAGTGAGATGGAAAATGTTTGGTGGAAGAGAGAGAGAGAGGGTTGTAGGCCAGCATCTTGAGATGTCAGGCGATGGTTGAATTTTTAATTAGTCTCTAACACCCCCTCCAGAGAAAAAAAATAGGGGGCAAGGGGACCGTCGGCATTGTCATGCGCGCGTTTTTCAGAGACTTTTCCACCCCCGTCTGCCCTCAAGTAACCCCTCAGCCCTCGTCGCGGGCAGGCTCCGTTTTCTTAATTACAACTGCGATATTCTTTAGTTCGCGCGATGACGCCGCCGTGAAAAGATACCGGAATTTACCAAGTAAAATAATAACGTACCCTCAACTTTTTTCGAAAGCTGAAAGTAAAAAAAAAATAAAAAAAAAAAAAAAACTAGAAGAAAACAAAAAATAGCGACGGAATTAAAAATTTAAAAACTATCCTCGTATTAATTATATTGTATGAAATTTGTATATTAATTCTGTTTGATATTTACGAAAATGTTATTCAATAGCCGCACTTATCTGAAAAACAGAAAAGAAATATGTTTTCTTGAAAAATAAAACAACACTGAAACGGAAGTACTGGAATAGAGTTCAAGACAAAAGTTGTTATAGTCCGTAACCTTTGTTACTAGTTTTTAGTTTTCTCTCTTTTCGAAATAAAAAAAACATCTTCTCGAAGTAAAAAAAATATAAAATTATAAATTTCGAAAGAACCGACGAAAAAAAGGGTTAAATTTTTAACAATGTTAAGTTAACTAATTGTGAAAATAATTAAAAATTATTTATCAAATAGAAAATTGTTTAGATAATGCCAAAAGGGGGCAATGCCAGCGAAAAAAAAATTGTTTATTAAACTAGAAATAATGTGACAGTACAGTAGAAAAGTAAAAAAAAAAAGTGGAAAATAAAGGAAGCATTTTAAAAAACAAAAAATGACAAGAAAAAAAAAACAAGTCATACGGCTAACAGATGTGAAAGCCGTCGGAATTGCTTGATGACGGATCATAATGTCGATTCTCAATTTTATCCAGAGGGCGTACCATTACGGATCACCACTTCATTTGTTTGTATATAATATTGCATAATTCAAAAAAAAAAAATCCCCCAATAAATATTAGAATTGATTAAATGAATTATTTAACTCTCTCAAAAAAAAAAAAAAATTCTAAATAGATTTATAACTTCTGAATACATTTATAATGAAAATTATATAAATAAATTCCTTATTTTAAAGATCATTGCATTTTTATTGAAAACTTACCATTTTATTTATACCACAATGAAAATTTTATATTTATTTAAATCACAATCTTTGATCTTAATTAATTAATTTCTAAATTGGTGCAAAATGTCAAACAAAATTTTACGAATAAAAAAAGAAGGCTAAAAACAGAAATTTAAATCAGTTTATTAGATAAAAATTTGCAACTATTTTTTTAAAATTAAACAATTATTTATATTTTATAGACTGTTGGATACGAAATAAATTTAACAATAAATAATAAATATATAAGTAATAATAATATATAAATATAATAATAATATTAATAATAATAATAATAAATAATAAATATATAATAATTCGAATAATAATATTAATTTATAGTAATAATGTTAATAATAATAGTAATAAAAATAATAATAATAGTAATAATAATAATAATCATAATAGTAATAATAATAATAAGAATAAATTTTATGTTCCTAAAGTTTGGAACGTTCAAAAGAACAACAACTTTTTTGTTTACCACTTTTCAATTTGTATTTTATTTAAAAAAAATTATTTTCTATATTTAAAAAACTTAATTCTTAGTTAATAAATTTTTAATTAACATTATTTTCCATTTCAGAATGATAATTTTTAAAAATATTTCAACAGAAAACCGCAATTTTTCGCTCATTTGAACGTTTGAAACTTTTTAGGGGAACAAAATTTTTAATTCTGTTCCAAAAATTCTGAACCTTCAAATAAACGAATTAGTTTTTTATTTATAGATATATTTAGAAAAATTACTGACTGCAAAAAAATTAAAAACGTGAATTAAACATTATTTTCCATTCCGGTTGAATATATATACTTTTTGAAAATATTTAATATTTCTGATGTTCAAAAAAATTAAAAATGTTAAAATTGAACTGAACGTCCAAATAAACAAATTAGTTTTTTATTTATAGATATATTTAGAAAAAATTGCTATGACTGTAAAAAAATTAAAAACGTAAATTAAACATTGTGAAGACACTTTTTATAGATCGAAATTCTTTCTATTTAATTTTTATTAACCATTCGAATTTTTAGATTAATAATTTTTGATCTAATATAAATTTAAACTTTTTTTTAAGAAGCGAGACCCAATATTTAAATGTAAAATT